CACACACACACACACACACACACACACACACACACACACACACACACACACACACACACACACAATAATTATGTGAGTGCGTGTGAGTATGTAAATGTGTGTTTGTTTGTTTTGTTTTTTTTGGCGTGTGTATTTGTGTGTGGGGGGTAACTGGTCAACGGCAGAGCTGAAATTTTATGAAGGTAGTTTTGGGAGTCTGTCGTTGAAGCTTAGCTTCAGAAGGAAATTAACCAAGAAACTGACCAATTCCATTTAATATATTAGAAATATGGGCCAACTTAAAAAAAAAATCAAATTCATTGCTTCATAAATGATGCTTTTCGAACGTTGTCGCTTTCAAATCTTTTATTAAATATTTCTCAAAACTGACATTTTTACAGTGGTGACCACGCGGTAACAATCGTTTTTCTGAAAATATCTGAACTACAAACTAGAAATTTGGCACAAAGGTGCAGTATAGTATGTTTTGTGATCGTAGGTAAGGATTTTTGGAAATATAGATTACTTTTTTAAAATATTCCTTTTTTTTGTCATTGTACTCGTACTTTTCGAAAGTCACGCTGTGATATATGGATAATTTTCTTATTTTTCATGTTAGAAAAAAGCCCTCGCCTATGATCACAGATAACATGATGGTGTATTTGGGTGCCAAGTTTGAGGCTTAAATTCCATTTTTTTTTCTGTGGAAAACGACTGTCACCGCAACATGGCCAAAAATCCATGATGGCCGCCACAGAGGCCAACTTTTTCATAAAACTAAAAAAATTCCGTCATCCTTAACTTATATCACTTGAAATAAGTGAAAGAAAGTCAAACCCCTCGAAAATTCCTCGTATCATGTACATCGCCGTTAAATTTGAGAAAAAAGTTTCGTTACCGTGGATACAGCGGCCATATTGGTTTTTGTTGACATATCTTACATAATGAATACCGAACCTATTTTTGATGAAAATAGATTGGTTGTTTGTTGGGGGTTTCTTTTGCATGCATCTTAGAAATCATTAGATCTACACATTGATTTGTTGAATTTTTCTTTAGGGAAGACCCGGGTAAGAGAATATCGATAAAATGGTTCAAACTATCGAACTTTGGTTTTTGCGGAAAAACTTCTTTGGACATCTGTTTTATCGAGTCACAATGGTGAAATTTGAAAAAAAAAAAACCAACCTAAATGACCTAAAAGTTCGTTTGAAAAGTGCATATTGAACTAAAAATCCTTTTTAAAATTCCTGTTTTTTCTGTTTTTCTCAAAATCTGCTTTTTAACATTATGTTACTTGGTGCAAGGAGTTTTCAAAAACTACTAAAGCTGGAAGCTTTAAATTTGGCACACAAGTGCTTTACGAAATATTCTGGGAATGTAAGTGAGGAAATTGGGAAATATTGGTAACTTGTGGATATATTCCAGTTTTGTTTGTAACATATACCCCTCAATTTTGTCAACTTACTCTCAGAGGTCCATTGACTTTGTGCTAACTTGTTTAATTTTAAAGATAGGACAAAATCCTCACTTAGATCCACAGTCCATGTAGTCTTGCACTTGTGTGCCAAATCTTAGGCTGTAGTTTCAATATTTTCTATGAATTTCTTCTGCACTAAGAAACCGGTTTGAAAATCTAAGATGGCCGCCTCAGAGACCTATTTTTCAGACAAAATCAACAAATTCACCCTTAGTACACCCTATTTACCAATGGACCTCTTGCACAATTGCAATAAATGAATAAAAGTCTTTTGTTTAGAAAATGTTTCCGAGAGTGTACGTCTCCCCTTAAACGAATTTTTAAAAAAATAAAAATTTCCTGAGGTAGTTTTCAAGTTGACAAAGAATCAGTGAAAATCCACATTCCAGACACCACCACCAAAAATCTATTCCTGTATCAAAAATTCAACAAACATTATTTTTAGTATTAGAATCTACACCAGCTCTTCATCCTGTGAAAATGTCATGAAGATTGGAAGAAAATTGGTGGAGTTATTCAAAAGATTATAATAGAAAACTGCGTTTGGAGAAAACGGGCCTTAAAGAAAAATAAAAGATTGACAGCAATAGACTTGCGTTGCATCTTTCACCATCCAATACTAATTAATAATTGTAAAATACAAATTTTTTTTCACACCAAATCGCCACCTCAGAATTACAATTAGTTCTTTCTGCTCGGTACTTAGTTTTGAGAAATATGACGTCAAAGATTTTGAGTTTCACATCATGTCAAACTTTTTTCGAATGCATTCTTTGAATAATATATTATTAATAATAACTCCGAATAATATAGCTGATTAGATAGAGCAGATAGAACATTAATTTTAGTTTCTGACCACACGGTCTTAGTAACTCAAACCAGTCAAAAGTGTCCGATAGAATGTTGTCATTCTAAGATAATAAAAAAAGACAAGGCAATGACAATAACTGAGATAGAGATATTGTTTCAATATGATTTATTAGAGAAATGTACATTAATGCATTAACTCTAATCGTCTGCTTTACTCTGTTTATACAGTCCACCCTTCCCTAATCCCTTCCACCCTCTCTCTCTCTCTCTCTCTCTCTCTCTCTCTCTCTCTCTCTCTCTCTCTCTCTCTCTCTCTCTCTCTCTCTCTCTCTCTCTCTCTCACTCACTCTCTCTCTCTCTCTCTCTCTCTCTCTCTCTCTGTGCTTCTCTCTGTGTCTCTCTCTGTGTTTCTCTCTGTGTCTCTCTGTGTCTCTCTCCCCTCACTCACTCTCTCTCTCTCTCTCTCTCTATCTATCTATCTATCTATCTATCTATCTATCTATCTATCTATCTATCTATCTATCTATCTATCTATCTATCTATCTATCCCTCTACCCTCTCTCATTCTGACAGACAGATAAACGGGTAGATAGACAGATAGATACCCTTCCATTAAAGCTGTTAATATATCTCGCTTATTGCAACATGTCTTTAACTACACGCTGAGTACAAAAATAATGGAACTGACGGCAATAAGGAGACATTGCTGTCTATTGCGTAGCGTCCAAAACCAATTTCCCGAAAGTGCCCGAGTTATGAATGACGTCATGGTGAGCCTTTGCGGCGTCTCCCAGCGCATACTCTCGGGCCACAACTGGCTGCATCCACCCTGATCTTTGACCCTCCTCCACTCCGTTCTTGACGACTCTCCAATCCTCCTGTGGGTCAAAAGAGGCGGAACGTGTCAGGTTAATAGGTAACTAAAGATGAGCCCTGTCAAGTTGGGATAATATTTTTTTTTCTGTAGCTTGGTGTTGCGCGGTGTAAACTGTTTTTCTTTGGGGAAGGGGATATTAATGTATTTTGATCTTGTTGTTGTTGTTGTTGTTGTTGTTGCTGCTTTTATTGCTATTGTTGTTGTTGTTGTTGATGATGATGATGATGATGATGATGATGATGATGATGATGATGATGATGATGATGATGATGATGATGTTGCAACAATGCATCGAACAATGATGAAGATGGACAGTAAAACATTATTGGTAACACAAGTAAAAAACTCAAACAACATTATAATAAACATCATAAACAACTTATTCATAATGAAATTATTTGCCGAAAAGACAAGTAGGAGAAATGTGATGTAGACCAATACATAGTATAACTGAAAGGCTAAAAACAAATTTCGACCCCTTCTATTCTTAAAAAGTAAATGAATTTTAAGCCTCTTTTAATCGTGCATGATGTTCGATCAACCAAATGAGGGGTAATGAGATTGGAGGCACTGAATGAGTGTTGTTGGTCAAAAAGGTTTAGAATGAAAGTCTCAAGTTTGCTTTTACTCTGGGATGTCTTGCAACTATTGAGAAACAGTTTCTGGAGAAATGTTGATGTGATAGATATGACCAAAAGGCTACCCGTTGCTGTTTGAAGCCTTAATGTTTTTCGCCTCTTTCTCTTTCCCTCTCCGTTACTGCTTCTCT